GGCCACCGCCATTCAGAACCCGCTCAAGTCGTGAGTGTCCCCGCCGTCCACGTCCCTCCATCCCGCCCCCTACCCGAACCCTTCCCCCGCCCTCGCTGGGGAGGGGGACGCCGTGGGCGGATGGCAGTTGAATGTGGGCCCCCAGCTTGCGCCCCCCTCCCCTGGGGGGGGCGGCCACCCCCTGTCGCCCCCTGGGGCTGGGGGCGGGAGCCCCTCGGGGGTCGCGGGGGCGCCTCTTCTTTGTCGCTGTCAGTGAAGGAATGTGGCGCGAGCTGGGGGGTGGCGGAGGCCGTTTCCCCACCCAGAGTGGGGGTAGGGGCTTCCCTGTCCTCCTCCTCCCTCTCTCCTCCTCCGAGTCTCTGGGGGCGCCGGGCCTGCCCCTGCATGGGGCTGGGAGTACGTACGCCTAAGTCCAGACCTCAGTCTCCGGGGTCTCCACCACCCTTTCCCCTCATCAAAGCATCTTTCTCTCTTTCCCCCCCCCGCCTATCTTGGGGACCTCGGTCGGCGCGGCCGCAGGGTGGGAGCTTAGACGTCGGGGATCCCCGATTAGATCCCTGCTGTTTTCCTTCCCGGGTCTTCAGGACCTAAAGCCCCGACGCCCCGTTCAGCTTAGACCGTGGGATCCCTCCCTCTCTCCTCCCGTACACATCTGACGAGAGCATCTCTCATCCCCTTGGGGACTAGATGCCTCGGGAGAAGGTGCTGGGAGCGCCCTCAGCCTCCGGGATTCCCTCCCTTTCTCCCTGTCCGCGTCCCTCCTCCGAGTGTTAGCTTCCTCCCGGGCCCAGTGGCTGGGATCCTGGACGCCTGGGTTCAAACCTAGCTCCCTTCCAGCCCTCACCTCTCCTAGACATCCCTCGCTCTCTCCACCTCTCTTCTTCCCTCTCTTTCCATCTCTCTCGCTCCCTCCTCGGGATCCCGAACTCCTGGGTCCCAGCGCTCCCCACCCCCCTTCCCCAGGCGGTGACGGCGGACTGGGAGTGACAGGCGCGCGGCCGCTCCCGCTCTCCCTCCCGGGTTGGCGTGCGCGGCACTCCCCTCCCCCTCCTCCCCGGCCTGGTGGGGAGGAGGAGGAGGGCGAACGCCCGCGGCGCCGCACAAAGGGGCCTGGGCGACCTCCCCCACCCTTCCCCCAACCCCTGGCACCCGCCACCTTGACCTTGAGCAACTTGTGCCCGGGGGCGCCCCCCATCCCCCGCCCCGGCCCTCCAGAAAGGCTGTGCCAGGTGGCCGGACCAAAGGCGCCCAGTAGCTTCTGGTTTCAGGTGTGTGTGTGTCGGGCGGGGGGGGGCGGGGGGGGAGTTGGGAGAGGAGGGGGCCGGACCTTACAGGCACGCGCCCACAAGTGTGGCTTTGCGGTGGGCAAAGGGGGCTTGGAGGGCGTGTACGGGGCTGGGGTCAGTGTGAAATGGTGTGTAACGGTGACAACACTTCTGCTTCCCTCTCACTCTAAGTCTTCCACACAGACTTGTCTCCCCTATAAGGGACACCCTCAAAAGGGCTGGGACGGGGTTCCTGTGCAGGTTGGTGGATCTATAGGTATCCAGACATCCTCACTCTGACCCTGACCCAGACCTCTTGGAGGAGGTATGGGGCAGCCATTGCAGGGGCCTGAAGCCCAGAGTAAGCTTGGGGGTGGGAGCGCCAGCACCTTTCTTTGCTCTCACCTTCCTAGGGGTCTGCAGGGGTGAGGGCAGGGACTGGCTCCTGAGAGAATGCGTGTCAAATCCCCTTGGGAGTGGGAGGTGGAGGGTGCAGCTCTCAGTTCTGACTGCCTGCATCATTCAAACCCCATATTGAGCACTAATTTCCTGCCCCCCCCACCCGCCCCGAGCCTCAGTGTTACCACCTGTGAATTGGGGAATCATAACAGCTCTTATTACCTCATGGTGCTTCTGTGATGTTTGTAAAGCGCTTGGTACTGAGCCTGACACTGACTGAATGTAGTGATTATTATTGGTAGTATCAATACTGATTTCATTTGTGGTCCAGTTTCCACACAGGGCACTGGGGGATGGGGACAGGAGGATTGTTTGGGCAGGGGAGCTCAAGTGTGGGAGAGGGGTCTCTGAAGGTGACTAGGGGTAAGGAAGGGAAGGGAGACCCCTCTCCAAGTGTCAGCTGTGGGTCAAATTGTGCTGGTGGACAAGGGAGTCCAGGGAAGTGATGGAGTGTTCTACACTCAGGCTCCAAGCTGACCAAAACTGATGCAAAGGTTCCGGGGTGGGGCAGGAGTGAGCGGGGTGTCTGAGGCTAGAGGTGTGGGGAGAAAGTGTAAGGGCATATCGGAAGATCTGTGAGGGTGGTGGAAGGTGAGAGAGGAAGGTGGCAAGGGCACTCTGAGCTGAGCTGGCCTGTTGGGAGGAGCGGGGCAGGGCTTACCGTGGCTGAGATATGGGGTGGCCACTGTAGGGACCTGGAGGCCAGAGCGAGGGTGAGGACTCACTCCCCTTGCCATCTGCTCTAGGTCAGATGTGAAGCAGAGACCCACCCTGCTGTTTTTGGGTTCGGGAATGGGGAGGTCAAGGCCTTACCTGAGAGTCCTAAGACTAGAGGTGTGTGTGTGTGTGTGTGTGTGTGTGTGTGTGTGTGTCCAGAACTGACCATGAGTGTGGAAGACCCTGAGGGGGTCTCTCTCACCAGGGTGTAGGTGGGGGTGTCGAGTGACAAAAGAGGAGGTGAAGGCTCCTATGCCTCTTCTGTCTGCTGGAGAGCCCCCTGGAGGACAAGGACATTGGTGGGCGTTTTCATCCATGCAAGGGCTCCAACTTGAACACGAACTTTAGATGGGGGCCGGGGGTTGCGGGGGCGGGGGGGTGTTCCAGGTGTGTGTGCATGGGGCTTGGTGATTGTTGTGACTCGGTAGGTCAGCTCCCTCTCTGGGCATCCCTTAGGGTAGAGTCAGTGTGGGTGACAGTGGGAGAAAGGAGGTGACCACTTGGGTACAGACATCTGGGTGAGTGAATCCTTCTCTTAGTCCCACCTTCAAACAGTCACCAGGAGCTGAGGTCATGTGACTTCACCTCCTCACCTGGAAAACGAGGGTAATGATAATATCACCCCGGAGGGTCAGGATGAGGATCAAGTGAGTTAATCTCTGTTAAAGAACTGTGCCTGGCACGTGGTGGCTACTCAGTATATTTCTATTCAACAAATATTTATTAAGCATCTATTATGTGCCCAGCATTATTCTTTCTAATAATGGTTAGCTATCACCATTTTACATCTTAGTACATATCAGGTCCTCTTTGTGGAATGAATGAATTTATTGAACACCTACTATTTGCCAGGTACCTTTTAAAACACTTTACCCATGCTTACTCATTTAATCCTCACAATAAGCCAATGAGCCATCATCTGCATTTTACAGATGAGGAAACTGAGGCCAGAAAGGTTAAGTCATTTGCCCAAGGTCACATGGCCACCAAGTGGCAGAGCCAGGATTTGAACCCAGGAGTTGTGGCTATATCTCCTAACTAGCACAGCTGCTGTCAGGCCTGGGAAGGGGTTGAGTAGGGCGGGGTCCTTGTGAGAGAGGCAGCTCCGAGGGGGACCAGGGAGGATTCTCCCGAGCTAGGAGGGACTAGGGGGAGGGGGAGGTGTCAGTGAGCCACGCGTTGGTGGGACGTTCATGTGGGCACCTGTAAGGTGTCTCTAAGTCTCCTGGCACTGAAGTGTTTGTGTGAGTGTAAATGTATGTGAGTCTGTGCGAAGGTGTGGGAGAGGGAGTGTGCGTGCGTCTGCGTGGGACGCTGTGAGTATACGTGTGAATGTGTGTGTAAGCTGCCGCGTGTGGGTGTGTGCGAGTCCAGGTGTGCATGGGTGAGTGTAGGCCCATGTGTGAGACTCAAGAGGAGTGCATGAGTGACCGCGCGGGAGTGGCTGTCAGTGCCTCCGGCCCCACCTCTGACCCGCTTCTCTGCGGGGTCCCGCCAGCCCCGGGCGGGGAACTACCACTCCCGGCATGGCCCGGGTGGGCCCACCCCGCCACCCTGATTGGCTGTGGTCCCGGTGCTCCCGCCCCCCGGGAATGAATGGATGGGCGGCCTCAGCGCCCGCCCGAGCGCTGGGAGGACCGGCCCGGCGGGGACCTGCTGGGGGCAGGACCCTGGGAGCAAGATGGCCACGGTCATCCCCGGCCCCCTGAGGTGCTGCAGGCCGGCGGGAGCAGGGGAGGGCGCACGAGCGGGTCTGCGCGGGCGTGTGTGTGTGTGTGTGTGTGTGTGCTGCGGCTGGGGGTGGGGCCGATGGGGTGTCTGGGGGGCTGTCACCGTGGGCCGGGCTGCGCGGGGTTGCGAATGTGTGTGACTGTGGGTCTCTGGCAAGAACCGTGTCCGACGCGCTGCTCCTGGAGGAGCGCGGAGTGTGGGGAACTCGGAGCCCTATTGGCGCCCTCTTCGGGAAAGGGGGTCATGTCCCACCCTGCGACCCCCGGGATTGGGGAGAGGGTGAAATGGCCTGGGGGCCCGGGGGCCTTGGTAAACTTGAGTGAAGCCCACACTACCTTTGTCTTGGGTTGTGGAGTGTGTGTCACTTGTTCGGGTTTTGGTTTTTTTTTGGATATGTGTGTGGATATGTATTTAATTTCTTTCACATTCTACACTAGGTGTCTTTGGATATTTTGGTCTTTGAGTGTGTGTACATATCCTTTGAAACTCTGCATCATTTATGTTCTGTGTCTTTGGATATGTAGGTATGCATGTATTTATGTGCAAATTTTTGTGTGACTATTGGTGGATTTGTCTGTTTCTATGTTGTGTATGTGTGTATCTTTGTGTGTTTGAGTATGTGGTATTTTAGATGTTTCTATATTGTGTATCTTCGTGAATATGTGTGTGTATCCTGTGTGAATCTGTGTGATTTCTTTGTATAGTGTATCTGGATTGTGTGTGTGTGTGTGTGATTTGTTTGTGTTGTGTCTTTGGATATGTGTGTAAGTGCATGTGTGGGTAGTTTGTTTTTCACATTTTTTCTTTTTTAACATTTGTGTATCTGTGTGTGTCTTCGGATGGATGAGTAAGTGGAGGTGTCTGTGTGTGGTGTGTCATCTGTTTGCATGTTGTGTGTCTTTGTGTGGGTGATTGTTTATGTTGTGTGTCTTTGGATATGTGATATATATTTGTGCATGTATATGTGTGTGATCTGTCTGCTTTTACACTATGGGACTTGAGATACTTGTGTTTTTCAGTAGATATTTGTGTGAGCACATATGTGAGATGTGTCTGTTTCTCCTTTGTGAGTCTTGGGATATGTCTCTCTTTGTGTGTGAATCCTGTGTGACTATGTGCGATTTGTTTGTGTTGTGTATTTGGATATGTGCCTGTATGGATGGGTCCCGGTGTATTTTTATCTGTTTCTATACTGTGTGTATCCACTCCTTGGCTCAAGGCCTGCTTGAGTCCGGGTTGGGGGCTCCTGGGTCCAGGAGCGACGACAGCGGGGGAGAGGTGAGGTTGGAGGAGTCGGCCCACGCATTCCCCACGGGTGGGCTGGGGGAGGGGTGCCGGGCGACCCGGTGCGCCTGCCCTTGCTGACAGGC